CGAGTGGTGAACGCTGTTAATGGTCAGACACGAGTGCACGATTAAACGTTTCAACCTTTTCTTCTTTTTTTTTTTTTTTTGTTTCTTTTCAACTTTACCGATCCTCGTATAGTTTTTGATGTATTATTTCAATTTTGTAAATCTTCTTATTAATTATTTCAATCAATTTTTGTTTACCGACACTCGATTTATTTAATTCATTCAAAATCTATACAATATTTTAATACAAAATATTATCGAAAACAATTATGTATCACTATAATTAGAATTAGAGTTCAAGAGTCAAATTTGTAGATTTAATATTGTTGGCAGAAAATTTTTTAATATTGCACAGATAGAATATTTTATATAGAATATTTGTATTTAATTTGTTACAAAGTTAGTTCTAATATATATATTTTTTGTTAAATTTTTAATTGTATTATAAAAAAATTGTATTATAAATAATGAAATATTGAATATATTTAATTATACGAGATAATATATAAAATGAAAAAAGAATAGAAAAACAATGGGGAAGTTATTCGGTATACTTGAGAATAATACTGATGGTACTATCTCGAGGAAAGAATGCTTTCAGGAAGATTCGTAAAATCCATTTGCTCGTAAGAATAAAAGGAAATAGAATAAGAGAATGAGAGATTATATATACCGTATTCAATCATCAGAGATGATAATGACGGAATTATCCGCAAAGCGATGAAAGTCAGACTTTACCGTTTTTCGTGCTAGCTACTTTCCTGAAAATGGTTTCATAGTTATTACCAAGCACACGGAAGATAGATGACGAAGTACGGAACCAACGTTTTATATACTTTATATTATGTGCCTAATCAAATTTCATTTCTTTTCGAATACAATGGAATACACTTCTTTCAGACAAAATTAACGAAATCCTTCAAAATTTCAATTTGAAAAAAAAGAATTTGATTGGAGACATTCGAGGGAACACACATTTTATCAAATGTTAATTTATAAATTATTTAACATAAAATATATATATGAGTTATGTTAAAATTATATGAAATTTCTTTTTATATATAAGTCATTGCATTTGAATTAAAGAAACTTTATTTATAAAATTATTATTTAAAAATATTAAACATGAAACTAAAACATTACGAAAAAAATTTCCCATATTATTCGTACAAATAAATTTCAACTCTATAGAGTAAACACTTTTAATAATCAAATTAATTTAAAGTCGATAACGCGTAAAAAAAAAATATTCTCCCTCGAAAAGATATTACTTTTTCTATGAAAAAAAAAAAAAAAATAAAAACAGAATTTCTCGAGTTGAAGGAAATAATTTAAAGGAACTTCTTCTTCTCCTGTTTATGCTCCCGTGAATTGTCGAGTAGTTCGAGGTACCTAAGTAGAAAGAAAAATGGTAGGGAAAAGAAAAAAGAAGACCAAAAAAATAAAAAGGAATGGAAATAGAAAAAAAAAAAAAGAAAGAAAGAAAGGCCAACACGAATATACAATAAGCGCATACGACTAACATAAGAAATAGAAATAGAAGTAGAAGTAGAAGTAGAAATAAAAATTAGAAAGAAAAAATGTAGGCAGGGCCCAACAGCCAGCCAGCCAGCCACCCTTTGTCATGGGACCGCGGAAAACGGGCCTTACGAGTGAAGGAGGAGGAGGTCCACTCTTAGAACCTCTCGCGAAGGGTGTGTGGGGAAGGGGGAAGGGGGAGGGTTATGAAATATACAAACACGAGCCAGTGGTTCTTCAAACAATCCAAACGAACGAAGTGAGTGCTTCGAGACCTAAACGCGAGTGTGTTTTAACGTTTAATGCATTTGCATGTGTATACATATGTGAACTAACATACACACTCTCATATATACACATTGATATTACTACATATGCTTATATTAATATATATGTATAAATATGTGAATGTAAGATGATTGTTCGGGTCCGTTAGGACCCTGTCAAGGTACGAGGGTCCTCGAAAACTTCGTCGTGTGTATACCTCTTAAGAAGGAATCACGTCGTCATGCTTGTTCACCCAACCGAAGAGATGTTTTCTTCTTGAAAGCTTCAGTATTTCTTTTATTTCTTTATTTTATTCTTTCATTATTTCCTCTCTCTCATTCTCATAAAATATAAACCGAAACGTTGAACGTATTTTTTCTCGCTAATTAATGACAAATTCAATTCCCACATTGTGATTTTTTTTTTTAAATAAAATTATAATTTTTAACTATTTTCTTTACGAAATATATTATATATATATATGGATTCAGGTTGAGATTTGTGAATTTTTTAGAGAAGTTGGGGAACTGTGTAAAAGGAGAAGGACAGAAAAAAATGGGAGGGAAGGTGAAGACGAATACGAATGAGATTTAGTTAGTTATAGTCATAGATAGTTTGGTAAAATTGGTAGAGGAGGGGGTGATTAGAGTATAAACCAAAAATGTGAGAAAAAATATAAGTAAAGTAATGATAAGACATTGTAAGAAAAACTTTATAAATTGTGCAATAAAAACCAAATTATATATATATTA